CCGCAAGCCCGCAACTTCTTTTTCTGTGCACGTCTCCAAGCCCGTAAGGATAATCAAACTGAGCCCCGACCACCATTTTGTCATTTTAATACTCGTCACGCTGAACTTGAGCTCTAAAGGCCAGTTGTTGACATGATATGATATTGTCCGTTTTGGACCAAGCCTATATTTTTTCTTTCTTCTCAAAAGGCCTCACACCATTAAGAAATCCCTATAACTTATATATAGGCTCCCAATCTTTTTAGTTATTATTTGGGATTTTGTTCGTGCACTCAAAACAAATGATATATAAAATAAATGATTTAGTTTTCCAATTTATAGAAGAAAAAAAGTTGTTGCAAGTATTTTCTGAAATCAGCTTCCAAGCTGCATGCATGAGCTACTTGCTTGATTGCGGGCCTCTTCAGGAACCTGTTTGCATGAATTACTTGCTTAAGCTACTTGCAAGTTAGTATTTGTTTACTCGCAACGAGTATTATATAATTCAGTGTATTCATAGCAAAAGCTAAAATATTTAGTTTAATTTTAGAAAATATAGTATTTGAAGTTGAAATTGAAAAAATAATCCGTGCAAATATTAAATGTTATTTATTGACAGATGGTATATCTGTACCAAAGTTTTTCAATATAAGAAAATTTGATCCTTCCATGCAATGTACCTACACTCGGGAAGTTCTTATTTCCTTCCGAATTAGTGTGTTTGGCTCTTTTTCGATTATCAAAAATCATTTTGGTAGATTCTATCCCAATTGGATCATTTTGGCAAATTGTAATTTCACAATTAGAATACATTTGATTTGATGGTCGAATTCATTTAAGAAATCACCTCTCTTTTAGTCCTAAAGATCATAATTTATAACTACTAGGCCGTACGTGATAACAATTTCTATTGTTGTTGGAGGCGCCAAGGGAGTCCGAAACTTTTCTAATGTCTTTTTGGGCACAAAATACGTTTTACCATTATATGGCAGAAATGGACGAAACCTCATCCCAGGATCCTAGAAGCCTGTTTCCATCGTACCACGTCATAGTCATAAAGCTTTGATTTGATTTACGATATGGTCAGCTAAATAAGATGGTGTGTCATGCAATTTTGGAGACGGACATGTGTCAGCTATTGAGATTTGACTTGATCTACGGTATGATTAGCTAAATCAAATAGTGTGTCATACAATGTTATAGACTGCCGCGCATCATAACAATTGAGGTTTGACTTGATCTACAGCATGATCAGCTAGACCAAATAGTGTATCGATCGGGCAATGTTGCAGAATACGACGTCAATGATAGAGCATTGTGCCGTGCCTACTTGTTAAATTCATTTGGTTGAGATTTATGTTGCAATAATTGATAGCTTGTCCCAAAGAGTATCTAAGGAGCAAATCCGAAGTCGGTTCTCAAGGCCTAGAAGCTCGGGGATTGAATACCCCTATGTTCCAAGTGACTAGCTTGGCTGGTGATGCGTTCACCCACACGCTTCCTTGCAAGCACGAAATTCTTAGTTCGCCCGCCACCACACGGGCCATTGCACTCATAGTTGGAACTAGAAAGCAACTAAAGGAAAAACACATCCTACTTACAATAGCTATGAAATCTTTTACGCTTTCCGTCTAAAATACTACCCATTTTCAAGTGCAAAACGCACTGTTTGATTTCAGTATGAAGCTAAAATTCACTTTTGCTTTACATTAACTGATTTAATTGTTAGCTAAAGGCTTATAAAAGATGTTCCCATTTTCAATTTTATCTTCCCATCAGAATTCGGAAGCAACCATCAAACGGTAAATAGCTAAATATTTCTTCCAAACCAACAACAAAAACATGCCCAGTGTATTCTGGGGAGGGTACCTCTATCTTGTGAAGGTAGAGAGGCTATTCCGGTAGACCCTCAGCTCAAGGAAAGTCACACAGCAATTAGGACAAAGAACTATGCAAAAAAAAACAGTAACAACAACCAAAAGCTAGCCAAACAATGCGCAAACCAATGAAAATATACTCTAATACTCATAACAATTCAATTTACACCAATTCCCAACTCCGTTCGGAAAGTCGATAAAATAACCCTCGGGGCCACGTGCCTGGATTCTGAATTTTTTCAAAGATAAACATTACCATAACATTACGAACTCAAATATATAATTTATTCCCAATTTCATGCCCAAATTCGTGGCTAAAATCCAAAAATATAAATTTCTAGGTTTTCTTCCAAATCCCACAATTTCTACAAATATTCATGTCTAAATCCACATATAGACCATGTATTTAACTCACAACAAGAAGAAATCACTTATCCCATAGAAGATGCTAGAAATGACACTCCAAAATTGCTCCAAAATCGCCTCCCATGGAAGAAATGAAGTGAAAATGAGCCAAATCCCCATTTTTAAAAGAACAGTGCCCAGGTGACTCTTCATCGCGAATGCGGAACATCCCTTGCGTTCGCGAAGCTCAGAAACTCATGCCCAGAAATCCCTCTTCCCGTTCGCGAAACACTAATCACGTTCGCGACCCTTTACGTTCGCGTTCCCTTCTATGCGTTCGCATAGGCCAAATGGCCTTAGGCCCATCTCCCCTTTTCCTTCTTCTCGTTCGCGTTGCCTTTTCCGCGTTTGCGAAGCCTTGACCAGTTCTTACCTCGAATTGGAGAATGTGAAGGAACCCGGTTCTGTGAAGAAAGTGTAACGTGAAAGTGTGTCTGGTAAAGAAAGGTTGAGGTATTAGAAAGTTCTGTGGGGTCGCACATTTGACCCAGAAATATCTGAGATGGCTGGTATGAGGCAAATACTTGAAATGGTCGAACAACAGTGGCATCTGTTCAAAGTGGATGTGCCCAAGGTTTATGAGGATGAGGTCCAAAGTTTCTATGTTGACCTCCTCATTGTTGAATCCGACCATATCTGTGCTTTGGTTAATGGCGTAGACATTGTTATGGACTCTGCTCTGCTAGGAGACATACTTAAGGTTCCTGTTGACGGTATGTCTTCTGTTAGAGATGTCTGTGGCACAAACTTTAGGCATGCAATAGTTAAGGAGGGAGCAGTGCAGCGGGGGGAACGAGTGCATAAGAAAGCTTTGCCTCCTGTTTATCAGCTCCTATTTGAGTTGTTGAGCAAGGTCCTGCTACCTCGTGCTGAGAGGAGGTCTATCATATCCAAGTCTGATTTGTATCTCATGGAAGCACTAGATGGGTTCCGATCTGTTAATCTGCCAGCCATAATAATTGAGCACATGCAAAAGGTGGCAGCATTCAAAGATGGAAATCATGGTCTCCCCTATGGATTTCTTCTCACGCATATCTTCAAATTCTTTAATGTGCCTTTGAGACAGCCCAAGATGGGGACCAAGAAGCCGACCTTCTCGCAAACTAGTCTAGAGGAATGTGAATGTATTGAAAAAGATGGAGGGGTAGGAATCACTTCGACGGTTTCCCAGCTTATCAATGCTCAGAACAGTGCTACTGAGGAGATTATGAAGTTGAAGGCAAGGAATGCCATTCTAGAGAGTCAGCTAAGTCAGGCTCAAGAGGCACCAGGGTCCTCCAGTTCATCAAGTGCAACGATTGCTCGTCTGACCAAAGAAAATGCTGATCTCAGGCAACAGGTTGAGAGCCTGAAGGAGAAACTGCTCGTAGAGCAAATGTCCGCAAATGCTCTGATTGATTTGTTCTCAACACTCTTGCTGCCGTTTCTAAGCCCTCTTCCTCTAGTGTCCTCTAGGCTAATCCTTCAGTGGCCATTTTCTAGTTTATCTTTTCTGTTCAGATGACTTTGTGGTAGTTGTTTTTTTGTTTTGTTTTGTGGTATGAATGGAATTCACTTGTACTGCTCCTGTTTTCAACAGTCCAAATTTGTCTTTGCTATAACGGCAAAGGCTTATGTTCAACAATATTAATGAAGACTCTCCTCTTTTGCTGTAAATGATTATGTTTCTCTGCTTCTCTTTTCTATCATGTGGTGTGCACATATGTGGCATGAGTTAACTAGGCTAGACTTCTTTATGCTGATTGCTTGCTTGTGAGTTTTTAATGATGCCAAAAGGGGGAAATATAATTGAAGTAGGGGATCTGATTAAGGGGGTAGCATAAAGTCATGGGGAACTTGTGAAGTTCCTGTTGCTTCTGGTTTATTTTGCTCTACATATGGTTTTCAATTTCTAAGTTTGTCATCATCAAAAAGGGGAAAATTGATAGGTTTACAGTACCTTAGATTTATGTTTTGATGATCTAACAAACTTACTGTCAAAGAACCAGATAAGGGACCTGACACACTTGGTACATAACTCAATCAACAGACTCAAGCTAATGTGTGTTGCTATGACTTGAGAAGATAAAGAATCAACACAGGGACCTGATCCCCTTGGGTTTCCCTGACAATAGTACGAAGTCAACTGTCTACAGCTGGAAAGTGTCTGCCTGCATTGTACACGCAAACGGTGCAACACAGTACAACAATCACTCCTCTTTGACCAACCTAGTGATTACATCATTCAAGTGATGTCATTCAAGTTGTATTAACAAAGAATATCACAACAAAACATCACTTTGAACATTTGAGAATTCATTCAAGCACTCAAAGCATCTGAAAATCAAGCATTCAATTCTCAAGTGCATAAAGAACAAAGTACAACAATACTACGGACCAGTTCCTACATCAAGTCTCTTGTATGTCCTTAGTTGAGTTGTAACTTTGTAATTGTTCTTCATTGGAATTCCTACTTTGCTTATCTAGAAGCTCTAATTAGGAAACCCTTGAAAACCATAAACCTTCAGTGTTTGTGTCGTGACTAGAGTTAGTCATGAGTTGAAGTCTTTGTAATAGGTGTATTGCGAAGTGGCTTTTAATAGGTGTATTACAAGTTAGTGAGAGATTAAGAGTTTAATTCCTAGGTTGCATAGTTTAATTCGTCAGGCAGTGGGTCTACTGGTGTTTCATAAGTCTTCAAAAGACTCTCCCTCGTGTAATAAGGAGAACAATAGTTTTCATAAGACTCATCCCTGTGCCTCAAGGCCGCAAAGCATGTGGACAAGGAAGTTCGTCAAGTTGGAACTGTCCACAAATACATTTCTTGTTTTGAAGGCAAACAATAAAGCACTTCACACCGTCTAACACTGTATTGATGTGGTCTGTTGAAGCCGTCGCCTACAAATTCATTACAAGCACACAACTAATTGTCAGCAATATGTACAAAATAACTACAATTTTACAACAAGTTATCTACAATTAGCATTATATATTTAGTTTGATGGAATCGTTGATCTGATGTTACTGGATATAGCTTACTCTCATCTTCTGCGATAATGTCCTGTTGTCCTCCAACTCTTTGTTGTATTTTTCCCCAAGGTATGTAAATGTACCCTTTGCTTTCAATAACTTTTCATTATTCCAACTTTCAAGAAGAGTCCTCATGTACTCTAATAGGTCTACTATGGGCAGCTCTCTTGCATCTTTTGTTATCGCATTCAATGACTTTGCAATGTTTGACGTCATCGTTCACGTTCTATTCACCGTAGCATGTACCCGAGACCATTTGTGATAGCCAATATCGTATAGGTATGCTTTAACACGCACGTCGATCTCTTCAATCTTTGACATTCGTTCATTAAGTTCATCAATTGTGTATGATCGTGCCGTGGCAAAGTACAATTTGCTTAACTTTAGATGACCCTTCTTGAACTTTGACCTTACATTTGTCCAAATATGCCACATGAAAGCATAATGTGGTATTCCGGTATAAACAATAGATGTTGCCTTCAAGATACTCTCATTCCGGTCCGAAACAACACACATATTTTGTTTTTCACCATACGCATCTTTGAATTGCTCAAAAACCAATTCCATGCTGTGTCATTTTCTGAATCAATAACAGCGTATGCCAGTGGTAATATGCTACCTATCACACAGGTGGCAAAAAGAAAATCAATTTCTGTAATAAAATTTGATAGTATAAAAAGTACATACTGAAAACAACTTTACAACAATATTTCTACAATGAATCTACAATGCCTGTTGCATCCATTGTGCTGGTTGTTAACATTATTCCCCTGTATACCGACTTCGATAAGGTGCCATCAACTACCACAAGTGGCCTACAATACTCCCAACCCTTGATGGACGTACTAAGCGCAACAAATGCGTACACGAAACAATCATCTTCAGTCTTCTTCAAATTAACTACCGTCCCTGGATAAGTCTTCTCCAGAATATACGAATAACTTGGCAAGCGATTGTAGGAATCAGCAGGGTGACCTCTCAAAAATTCCAAAGCCTTTTCCTTTGCTCTCCAAGCTTGCATGTATGTTAAGTTCACACCATGATCCGACAACATGTCAGTTTGTATGTCTTTTGGTGTGTATATTATCTTAGGATCTGTATATTTTGGCATCACCATGCTGCCAACTACCATGGTAGTTGCTTTGCGTTGTTTGTGTGTATTGTTCATCAAAGAGCATGTGTGCAAGCTGTTGAATTTTTGAACCTTGAACAATGCTGATTCGTTTATGCTGGTTGACTTGAATTGCCATGTACAATTGCCCCCAACACAAACTAGGCAGTAGCTATAGGAAAAAAAACAAGTTAAAAATTGTTATGAAAAATATAGCTACAAAATAATAGGCTGTGTAAGCACAAAAATCTTATATTAAATAATTTATTTACAAAAAAAAACTACAAATTTTATTAACAAAATATAAAAAGAAAGTACTACCTGTAAATAAGAATACCAAACAACTACAAAATAAACACAAATATGAATTTGACAATTGAACTGTTCCTACCTTCTTGCGCTAGACCTCTTCACCCTAAATTGGAACTTATTCATGACAGAATAGTGCTTAATTGCATTGACAATTGTTTGCTTGTCTTTGTAGACTTGGCCTAATTCAATAACATTTGGTGTATGTTCTGTTATGATGTTACTTTCATATTCCACAATCGACGGAGATGTCGGCCTATCGATCAACAACACTGTTTCAGATGAACCCGCACTCAATTAAAAGTATATACAATTCAGAAATATATTGTAGCTAATTTGTAGTTAAATTGTGCAACAATTGAAATTGAATACTTTAAAAGTTATAACAGTTGAACTACATTTGTTAGTTGTATCATTGTAAATATTGTGTAGAATAACTGTAGAAAACAACGAACTGACAGAACATCACCACTGAAAATACAGAGCAAATCTGCAACTGTGCTCGTATTAGAGATATTGCCTTCCAAATCGAAATCACGCACTGTTATACACAGCAGATTCATTCCTAAGCTTTTGTTTTCCTTTTTGGTCTTTATGTATACTCGAACTCCCATATCGTTCCTAATTTCCATTGGAGGACAACGTTCATTGACAGTGTATTTGATTTCGATAATTTTCTCAGAGGTATTAATCATTAGATGCTCTGCAATTGCAGAATTCAATTGATTGTAATTTGAATCCTCGCTGACTACAATTTCATCAACATTAAAATTGTTGTACCTCCCAAAGCTATCCCAATGACCTTTTAGCTGAAGCATAATAGCTAAATTTGTCATTATATCGCGAAATTCAATACGATTGAAGATGATTGTTTGCAATTTTTTCCGCCGATTTTCGTTTCTAATTTTGAAACCAGACGAGATAGAGAAAATCAGAGTATTCAACTTGATTGTGCGACGTTGATGAGAGTAAATCGGCATAATAGCAGGCTTAATTAAATTGGCGAAGATTGCGTCAGTAAATTCTCTGAAGAATCCTCTGTGATCCCAATTTTTCGTGTCTAAAAAAGGAAGGCTAATGCAGACAGGATTCTACTTTAAATAAATGTAGGTCGGGTAATTATGTAAACATGGACATTTTTGGTAATAAAGTTTCTAATTTTGTATAGGTATGAAAAAATCCCTCTATAATTCAGTGTATTCATATTTCATAACAGAAGCTAAAATATTTAGTTTAATTTTGGGAAAAAAGGTATTTGAAATTGAAATTGAAAAAAAAAGGTTTTCCTTCCGTATTATTGGTTTAAATATTAAATATTATTTATGGACAGATGGTATATATCTACCAAAGTTTTTCAACATAAGAAAATTTGACCCTTCAATGTAATGTAACTCCACTCGGGAAGTTCTCTTTTCCTTCTGTATTAATATATTTGACTTTTTCGCAATTATGAAAAATCATTTTTTAAAAACTTTCAGGACTACAGCAGACTATTTTTTTTAATTTTAAATTTAAACTCTAATTATTTATCACAAACTATACAGAAGCTATTAAAATTAATAGATTAAGTACATTAGTTATAAATTGAAATGTAAATATTCAGAACTACAGAAAATATGCTATAAATTGTAATTCTCCTGGTATCATTCAAATAATATTAAGTTGAATTTTGAGAAGCAAAAGGTGACTAACATCTGATGAAGGAGTAGTTCACTTGTTAATGACATAATATTATGTTCTTGGAGCCAGATAAATAAGAAAGGAAGTAAGAATTTTCATCTCATCCTGCTTACAATGGCTATGAAATCTTCATATGCTTTCCATCTAAAATACTACCTATTTGATTTCAGAAAGAAGCCAAAATTCACTTGTGCTTTTATATTAACTGCTTTACTTGTCTGCTAATAAGGCTTATAAAAGATGTTCCCATTTTCAGTTTTATCTTCCCATCCGAATTCAAAAGCAACCATCAAATTGAAAAATAGCTAAATATTTCTTTTCCAAACCAACAACAAAATTATATTCAGTGTATTCCCATAACTGGGGTCTGGGGAGGGTAGTATGTATGCACACCTTACCCTTGCCTTGTGAAGGTACAAAGGCTATTTCCGGTAGACCTTCTCCTCAAGGAAAGCATAATCACAACAGTTCTGACAAAGAACTATGCAAAGAAAAGCAGTAACAACAACCAAAAAAAAAAATAACATAACCGAAGCAAAAGGGATACAAGAAATCCATGCATCCAATGTTTTGCCACTTCATGTATTAGGAGAAAAAACCATGCAATATATGGACATCAACAAGGATTAGGGACGCCAAAGTTACGGTCTCACTATATATGTTGAGTACGTAAAACTAAGAAATAATGGAATGTGATACTACTAAAGTTAAATTATTTGATTTGGTGTATAAACCAATGCAACTAAACATTTACTATAAAGTATTTAGCCGTAGTAATACTACCAAGGTTAATTTGTTTTGTTTGATGCGGCTAAATATTCACCGTAATAACACCTGGCATTATATTCCCAAATAACAATAAGAAGCTCATGAAGGTGAGGAAAATACCAAAAGAAGGCTATTCAAGTGAATTAAATCATTATTTAATTTACATTTTTGGCTTCACTAATGAATACATTCAACTATCACAAATTACAACAGGGTGCATACTCAGCACAGTTAATACATATGATACCGAGTTTTATAGATGCAACTAAAATTTTGCTTCAAATTTCAAAAAGACAGTGCAATCTATTATGATAGTTAATTACTCAGATATGACCAAGTGAACCTCCAAAGAGAGAAAAAGAATTAAATTCATCAGGAAAGTACCAAAAGGGTAAGTAATAAATGGAAAAGGGTAAGTAATAAATGGAAAAAAATCTAAGATCCTCTTTGCATTTAGAAGTGAAACCTTCTTATTGACCATTATAGAGTTATTGTAGAGTGTATAGTACAAGAGTAAGTTCAGTTGCTATTCTGGAAAAGTAATTACCACTCATTTAATATTTGGTGATTTGATTTAGTAACAGTAATCTACACAGAGATCAAATGGATTTGCTTATGAAGAGAATCCAGCTGGAAAATAACTTTCAAAACGGAACATAAAAGTCTATTGAAAGTGATAATCGCGTTTTATGATTGTGAAACAGCAAAAAGAGATGTTGCATGTGGAATAATCTCTATAAGCCGACTAGAAAATGAGTTGATCAGGTTCTTTGATTATCATTTTAAGTTTCAAAGTTAGTGAAGAATCTAATAGGTTAAAAAAAATTTCAAGACAAGGGTACGCAATGCTACAATAATTTTACCAAGCGCAGGAATCAAACCTCAAACATCACCTTTGCAGCAAATTGCAGTGCATTAACTAAACTCTTGGTGGAAAACTTCAGAGGAAATGAATGACAAAATCACGTAAAACACAATGCATATGTCATATCTCAAGAAGTAATGGTGGCGACTTCATGAAGATGCAACTATTTTTTAAACATATCCAATCATATAAAGGAGGAAAAAAAGAAGATGAAATTATGGAATTTCATCATCCTATTTTTTCCCTTAAATGCATATTGCAATACAACGATAAAGATTGCTAGCAAATAACAAACATGAATTTAAAACAGAAAGAAAGATGGATCAAGATAACATCATCAAGGACAAAAGACCGGGATTATATGATCAGCACCCCATGACAGCACAGTTATACACAAAGCTACCATATCGCTTTCGGCCAAGCAAGTCCCATTGTATCGGCCCTTCACTTGGAACCCATGAATTCACTTCGATATATTCTGCACCTCCCTTGGGTCCACCAATTACAATTAGCGTGTTACCACATGCCCGAAAAGCCAAACCCCAACCATACATGGAAGCTGCTCTTTCAGGCAGCCGTCCTATGGTAACCCACGCTTTATTTTGCTTGTCATACTTCCTCACCTCCATCTCAGCATAATCAGCCGCATACAGCTCATTGTCTACAACTGCCACCAAAGGAGGTGCATCAGATGTAGCAGCGTTAGCATGCACGGGAGACATGTTTGGGATTTCACGCCACGTTCCTTTTTGAAGATCATACTCCTCCCCACAAGTCAACCGCTTCGATTCTTCTCCTCCAATTCCTCCTATCACATAAAATTTCCCATCCATGAATACCCCTGAACACATCTTACGTGGCTTGTTCATGCTCGGTAAAGTCTTCCACGTTCCTGTCTCCGAATTGTAAAGTTCAACTGAGCTAAGTATATTGCCTTGTGAGTCACAGCCACCAGCTAGAATGCCAATCTCCCCAATGCTGGCAGAACCAAACAAACATCTTGGTACATTCATCCGCATCCCAGATGACCACGTGTTCGTCAATAAACTGTAACGATAAATGACATGCGAAAAGATCTCCTTTCCAAACACAAGCAGCTCTGTGCCAACCGCCAATGACTCCTTGTCAGCCAACACGAAACACTCATCAGGAGTCATAGTTGGCAGATGCATCCAACGGCCGCGACTAGGATCAAAGGCTTCCCATTCAACCGGTTGGCAGGAGAAATAAACCCAATGCTCAACCATACCATTTTCCCGCCGCAATTTGTAAAGTTCTCCGCTCCTAATCAATGAGCGAAAGCTACGATTCAGAGATGCTATGGCACCATAATCCGACCGAGAGCAATGAATGAGACAACTGATGGAATTGTCACGGCCAATGGCATGAATAAGAGAGCTCGAATCAGAATTATCAACAGCATGACGTTTATTGCCAGCTTGCTCGTTCGGGGATGCTGAAGAGTTTCCCAAAGATAGAGCAACTTCCACTTTGTTGAAAGCGTCAGACTTATTTGGCAACTTGCATTTCACAAGTTCACGCTCCTGATAATTTACCAATGGCTCTTTGCCATTCATGCAAGCCACCAAGTTACTTTCTCTCTGACAATCCTTTGAAACCAAACAAGACTGATCTTCTAACATGTCGTACGGATTAAAACCAAGAGGATTTGATAAAATGAAGGAAGAAGTTGATTGCAATGCACTGAAAAAGACAACCTTTTTCGTATCTGGTGAATTCTACCTCTGTTGTTTTCTTGATTTTCCTATTAATATAGTTTTTTTCTTCTTTTTGTTTTTCGGTATGTATTAGTATATAAGGGTAGTTATTTAATTTTTGTACTATTTGGTAGAAGAAGAATCGGGGCATTTGGATTTCTCTTCTGAAATTAAAGTAAGATTTGGCTTCATAAGGAGGAAAAATTAAGCTTTGGCTTCATAAGGAGGAAAAATTAAAATTTGGCTCCATAAGGAGGAAAAATTAATGAAATGCCTAAGGAGGAAGTGCAAAAAGAGTAAGTAATGTAATATAGGTAATCTGATAGTATCGGTTCACACTATGCACTCTCTCTTACTTTCTTTTTTCCGTAGAGCAAATTCTCCTCTCGTTATTCGCTCAAGTGCCACAAGGAAGATTATCAATATTTTCTTGAAGGAATAAGCTTTTCCTATACAAAATTTTTCTCAAATTGGGTAAGAACTTCTCTATCGTTTTCTTAAGGGATGCAGTGGCGGGGATTGTGCATGATACTCAAGTTGCATTTCATGAATCTAAATCTGTTAAATAATAATAAGTGGGCTTACATTTTTTTCTCCACTGGCAATCAACACAAAGGTTAAACGTCTTCCAACACGGCACACGCCTAACATTAGTTAGCACCTCTACATCGTTCCTACCAGTGTTGTTTATATCTTTCTAGTAAAATTAGTTGATTAGAATTCCAATGTTCTTTGGTTCCCGTAGATAGATTGACATGCATTCTTTATCTATCATTTTAGGAATTGAATTCATAGAACGATGATATGGGAGGGAATTTTTTATACATCTTTCTCGTAAATTATATTTAAGTATTTACTTATATGCTACTTGTAGAATTATAAAACATGAGAGCAAACCGTAATTGATGGAAGAGTAAATTCCAGATATGCCTACCCAAATATTGAGACCACCCGCTATGCGACTACTAAGAGCATAGATGATGAAAGGACTTAGTAAATAGCATTGATATTAAACATTTTCTCTAGATAAGTAGAGCCTGTAGTTTCTAGGTTTAAGATTTCAAGAAAAATACTTTTTAAGGGAAAACAACTACCGTTGTAGGACTTGCAGGACACCTCTCCCCCCCCCCCCCCCACACACACACCAAAAAACCTTTCATCTAAGGGTTAACTACATAACAGCAAACCAAAAACAACTAGCGGCAATTATAGCCAATAAAAATAACTTTAGCTAACATGGAAGCGACATATGATATATTCGCTTCCATTGCAGTTTTGAGTGTTCTAAGGGACCAGATAAAGCAGGCAAGATAAGGATGTGTTTTTGGAGTAAAATTTGACCTTTATTACAAGTGCATAAATACCTAGAATTCTACCAATACGGAGTGGTTTTTAATTGAAAGCTGAAGCATGCACTACTGAACTTACTCAAAATTTCATGTTCGCGTGCATGAAAATCTTCATTAAATGTATAATTATGATGTTTGCTTCTATAAGGAAAAATCGAAATATAAACTTATAGATTCTTATAAAAATTAGCATTCTTTTAATTGCTTATGTTCTTGGACACACTTATAAACTAACAATACGAAAAATAGTCTTGCAGACAAAAGTAAATGTTTACTATTAAATAGCAAATATCTGCAATGGCAGCCAATTACATTGTTCAAGAAATGTTTACTTTCAATTATAAGATTATGGTTTGTGGAAAATATGCTAGAATGTTTAATGATATAGCTTTTGAAGCAAATTACAGTCTATCTAAGTGATTTTCACCTAAAACTTACATGCATTTTAAGCAGGGACTTACATGTATTTAATGCAAAATGTAAGTATAAATTTTAACTTTGAAATAGTGTACAATATTAGGTTATCAAATCATCGCTACCTCCAGGCATAATATCTTTTATATCGACTTGATGTTTTCTACCTCAACTTAGTTAGTCAGATACCTCAAATTTTTAATTTTTTACTGCATCAATCCATACAATGCATCAATGCTAGATGATAAAGGCTACAACATCTGGAAGTCTATAGAAAGTAAATATCTTTCTCAACAGATAAACATTATGATATTTGTATTTCTTGAGCTTAAAAGTTTAGTATGATTAGATATTAGATATATTTGTGGTCTCTTTTCTGGATCAGTTCAGAAGTTTGATACAATTCTTATTGTGCATGCAAAACAAGAAATAAGGTCAATACAAAAAGCTCTCTAACTCGTTCATTTAATAACCAGGGAAGCATTTTGACCAATCATACACATAAATACGAGCATGTTTTGCATCATATATCAATCCGCAAAAAGCAACTTAAGCTAGACAAGGGTCAAAGAATTGTTACACATTGGCAAACTAAAAGTTCCGACATCTTCACTAATTGAAGAAGTGACAGAATAATATATTTCGAAGATTTAAAGCTCTTTAAGTGTGACTAAAAGGATAAACATTTATGGTAGTTGAGCAAATATCTAGTAGTACAAATGCAACAAAAGTATACCTTCAGCTAGCAATGTTGACTGTGAAGGATCACCATCAACACTGTCAAACTTAAAGTTCCTTTTTTTTGAAGTATGTTTATTGCGATGGATCATTAGCTAATTGGTTGTTTTTGAAGTTTGTTTATTGCGATGGATCATTAGCTAATTGGTTGTCAACTTTAATCTCGAGTTTATGATAATTTCCTCTTTGATGCAGTTTGCAAAAGGTGCATCCATCAAGCAGCCAGTGAAACTAAGCACTCATGCATCTATCAAGCAGCTAGTGAAACTAAATGTTGCCCCGAGTGCAAAGAAGAGTTGGCCTTTTTTCCTGAATAACATCTCAAGTAAGGACTGGCTCCACTTCTCTTTTAGTTATTATAAGCTTTTGATGAGTCGCTAATAGATTAACTGGGTGGAGAAGTCTCTCTACCTGCACAAGGTAGGGGTAACGTCTGCTTACACACTACCCTCCCCAAACCCCATTTGTGAGATTACATTGAGTATGTTGTTGTTGTTGGGTGGAGAAATAAAGACAAATAATCTGATAGTTGATCTTAAAAATAAGTCTACGACACTATTTCTTGAACTAAGATAATGATCTCTGAAATTAGAAAGAATCACTACTTCTAACAACCCGTCAAAAGATTCACTTTTGTAGTCATCCTATGGATCAGTTTTTTTAAAGATGAAGTAAAAAAATTCATTAAAAGAAGGGCAAAAAATGCTTGTATGCAAGAGGTATACCAAAAGGTAGAAAAATCTTACGAAATGATATGATTTTCTATGAAAGACACCCTATCTTTTTATATATATGGGAACCTCGTGGGTGCACCAAAAAGGAATAAGAGATAGAAGGTTATTCCTCAAGTGTACAAAACCATCTCTACTCCATCAAAAGCGCTCCAAATCCTCTCTCTTCATACAGTCCATAAGTATAGAGGAGCAACATGCCATACCCTATGTCTCCTATGATCTTCTAAAGGTCCAACTAAACATTGTTTCTTTCGTAGTGCTCGGCATTACTCACTCTGGTCTAGACCATCATAGGATTTGCCACCACAACTAAGACGCTATTCGACAATGTAAATGGAGGTGATTCAAATATTTCCCTGAGTCTTTACTCTAGTTCTCTTCTTTTTTCCAAAAGAAGTTTCTTTTCTCATTGTTCTCTCATAGTGTTATAAGGAAGATTATCAATCATTTATTGAAAGAAGATGCTCTAAATATGCAAAGAATTCTTTACACTGGCTATGAAATTGTGCATGAAACTCAAGTTATATATCACTAATCTAGAACTGCTAGAGCAAATATCATATAACCTCTCTTAGTACCTTTTTGAGCACATTGCATGGTAGATTGGCGAAGACTTGGTGTATTAGCGAAAATGTCAAAAGGGTAAATAAAGCACTTGAAAATCCAAGTAATCTAGGTGATCTAACATTATCAGTTCACACTCTGTGCTCTCTTTTTCTTTTCTCATTATTAGCTCAAAATGCTACATAAAAGATTATCAATCATTTTTTTGAGAAAGAGCTCTTCATATAAAAAATATTCTTCAGGTGAGAGCATCTTTTTTTTTTTTAAGGGGTGGAGTGGTGGAGGATCGTGAAAGATAAAAAAAGGCAGCATTTCTGCAAGAGGCTGTTTCCACGCCTTGAACCCGTGACCTCTTGGTCACATGACAGCACTTTACCAGTTACGCCAAGGCTCCCCTTCACGGATCGTGAAAGATACTTAAGGTATATATTATCAATCTAGATCTGTTAGGTTTTTATACTACCTCATGATCTTTCCTTTACTGCTCTAAGGGGTGTGGAATATTGGAGGATTATGCATGATACTCAAGTTATATATTCTTTTAAACTTTTATACAACCAAATGGTGTTGCCTCTATTGCTCCAACAACATTCAACACAAATGTCAAAGGTGCTCTCATACTTGATGATACTTAACGAATTATAGACCATGAGAACATAAACCTTAATTGATGGAAGAGTAAATGCCAATAGATGCCACCAAAACATTAGGATCACCTCTTATATATGTGCAAATTATGTGCATCGATGTGGCGAAGACTTGGTGTCTAGATCTGATATATGACCAAGCGAAGCATCTCACGAGGAGAAAAGAATTAGATGCATCAGGGGAAAGCTCCAAGAGAGTAAGTAATCTAGGTAATCTTGCAATGTGTCAGTTCACACTACGTACTCTTTTCTCTTCTTTTTTCCAAAAGAAGTTTCTTTTCTCATTGTTCTCTCATAGAGTTGTAAGGAAGATTATCAATCATTTATTGAAAGAGGATGCTCTAAATATGCAAAGATTTCTTTACACTGGATATGAAATTGTGCATGAAACTCAAGTTATATATCACTAATTTAGAACTGCTAGAGCTAATATCATATAACCTCTCTTATTACCTTTTTGAGCACATTGCACGGTAGATGTGAAGGACTAGGCCATTTTATCAACAATAAATAAACTAGTACTTGCGGTGAATTCCCCTCCTAAGTGGCCATCCATTATCATTGGAAATGCCCACTTCTCGGGCAAATAAAGCTCTTTTGATCATTTCTTCGAATCAATAACAGAAGTTTGACCTTACCTACGCACAAACCCTTTAGTAAATTCAATCAAACACTTGGCCTTCACTCTGTTGTATTCGACCATTGTGTCCAATTGATCCTTCCTATAGGAAAAAATATTATACAGTTAGAATTGATATGCAGTATACCATGCATCGCGTTTGGCGGAACCGCTTAAAAAGCATATAATCCCTAAAACAGGAAAGTAAAGTGTGGAAGTGAATCCATACAATGAAATAACCTCTGCCATTCAATCAAACACATGACCTTCACTCGGCTGTATTCGACCAATGTGTCCATTTGGTACTTCCTACAGAAAAAACATTATACAGTTTGAATTGATATACAGTGCATCGGCAATCGCATTTGCTATGGATCACGTCATACATTGCAAAACGAAGATTCTAAATTTTGTTCTATCTTCAATACAATATGACCAAAAAACACACACAGAGAAAATACCATAGTGATACAAAATAAGGAAATGAATACCTGCAATAGATTAGGAAAACAGAGGTCTCCTTGTTTGAGGCACCCTAACTCAACTTCTGCAACTGTTTGCCTTCCTTCAAGTTTGCTTTAAATTTCTTTTCTATTTTTTAATTTGTCTTCCTCGGGTGCTGAGAATGCCGAATATAAGGAGAACGAGGAATGGAAGGGCATTAGCGCAAGAAAGGGGTGAAAAAAAGGCTACTGTTCTTTTACCATATAAACATTGGACTTATAAAACGCATCTTATTAATCGTATTTGCGAAATGCAACTTATAAATTATTTTTGTCAATTGCGACTAATAAATAGTAATCGTCAATTGCAACATACCAGTTTGTATTGCTTCTGAGAACGCCGAATATAAGGAAACGAGGAATGGAAGGGCATTAACGCAAGAAAGCGGTGAAAAACCCGTTACCTGCTCCTTGATATAATGTTGTTAAAGTGACTTGTAAACCTCGCGCTTATATTTCGCAACATATAAATTGCAATATGTGATTGCGACTTACAAATCGTATTCATATATGGCGGCTTCTAAAGCTTCTTATGATCCCAAAGAGTATTAAATGAACATTTATAATTCAGTGTATTCATAACAGAAGCTAAAATATTTAATTTAATTTTGGAAGAAAAAAAGTGTTTGAAGTTGAAATTGAAAAAACCTAATTGGTTCAAATATTAAAAATATTACTTCTGGACAGATGGTATATATCTACCAAAGTTTTTCAACATAACAAAATTTGACCCTTCCATGTAATGTAACTCCACTCGGGAATTTCTATTTTCCTTCCGTATTAATATGTTTGGCCTTTTTTCAATTATGAAAAATCATTTTTTTGGAATTTTCGGGAGTACACCAGATTTTTTTTTAAATTTAAAATGTAATTTTTCTTAAACTATACAAAAGCTATTACAGTTTATTAGATTGAGTTCATTATTTATAAATTGGAATTTAGATATTCAGAATTACAAAAAAAAAAAAAAGAAATACTATAAATTGTATTTCCCCTCGTATCAATCAAATTTTATCAAGTTGAATTTTGAGAAGCAAAAAGTGACTAGCATCTGATGGACTAATAGTTCACTTATTAATAACATAATATTCTGTTCTTGTCTTCTTGACCTAATTTGTCGAAGTAAGTTACACTTTTGCGATCCCAATTGGATCAGTTTTGGCAAATTGTAATTTCACAATTAACATGATATCCCTATGTAACATTTGATTTGATACTCCCAAATCATTTATGAAATCACATTTCTTTGTACTCCTAAAGATAATAATTCATAACTACTAGGTCGCGATAACAATTTCTATTGTTGTTGGATGGGCCAAGATCTTAGAAATGGGCAAAACCTCATCCCAAGATCCTATAAGTTTGTTTCCCTCAAAGAGCTTCATAGTTACTAAGGTTTGACTTGATCTACGATATGGTCGGCTAAATTAGATGGTGTGTTGTGCAATGTTGGAGACTAGCGCGTGACGTGCGTCATAGCCATCGTGGTTTGACATATACGACGTGATCAGCTAAACCAGATGGTGTGTCATGCAATGTATAGAGCATTGTGTCGTGCCTACTGTTGAATTCATTTGGTTGAGATTTGTGTTGCAATATTGATGATCAGCTTGTCCCAAACAGATTTGGTCACTGCATCCATCATTGGAACTAGAAAGCAACTAAAGGCAAAATCATACTCAGTGTATTCCTACATAAAAGATGTTCCGATTTTCAGTTATATCTTCCCATCAGAATTTAAAAGCAACCATCAAAGCAAATATTTCTTTTCCTAACCCACAACAAAATCATACTCAGTGTATTCCCATAAGTGGGGTTTGGGAAGGGTAGTATGTATGCAGACCTTACACCTGCCTTGTGAAGGTACAAAGGCTATTTCCGGTAGACCTTCTCCTCAAGGAAAGCATAATCACAAAGTTCTGACAAAGAACTATGCAAAGAAAAGCAGTAACAACAACCAAAAAAAAAAATAACATAACCGAAGCAAAAGGGATACAAGAAATCCATGCACCCAATGTTTTGCCACTTCATGTATTTGGAGAAAAAACCATGCAATATATGGACATCAACAAGGATTAGGGACGCCAAAGTTAGGGCCTCACTGTATATGTTGAGTACATAAAACTAAGAAATAATGGAATGCGATGCTACTAAAGTTAAATTATTTGATTTGGTGTATAAACCAGTGCAACAAACATTTACAATAAAGTATTTAGCCGTAGTAATACTACCAATGTTAAATTGTTTTTGTTGGATGTGGCTAAATATTCACCGTAATAACACCTGGTATTATATTCCGAAATAACAATAAGAACCTCATGAAGGTGAGGAAAATACCAAAAGAAGGCTATTCAAGTATATTAAATCCAGATAGTACTTAGTTGTATCATTATTTACATTTGCACACTCAGCACAGTTAACACATATGGACTATGATACCGAGTTTTATAGATGCAACTAAAATTTTGCTTCAAATTTTGAAAAGACAGTGCACTCTATTATGAACCTCCAAAGAGAGGAAAAGAATTAAATTCATCAGGGGAAAGTCCCCAAAAGGTTAAGTAATAACTGGAATAAAATCTAAGAAGTGAAAGTGGAATAACTAATCTCTGGATGGAAAACTTCAGACAGAATGAAAGACAAAATCACGTAAAACACATGCATATGTCATATCTCAAGAAGTAATGGTGTGACTTCGCGAAGATGCAACTATTTTTCAAACATATCAAATCTTATAAAGGAGGGAAAATAAAGATGAGATGAGATAGGAGCTCGCATGTTTATCAGCGTACAATTATGGAATTTCATTGTCCCATTTTTTCCCTGCATATTGCAATACAACAATAAAGATTGCTAGCAAAGAACAAACATGAATTTAAAACAAAAAGAAAAATGGATCAAGATAACATCATCAAGGACATAAGACCCGGATTATAGTGTTGTTATATTTTTCTAGTAAAATTAGTTGATTAGAATTCCAAAGTTCTTTGGTTCCCATAGATAGATTGACATGCATTCTCTTCCTATCACTATAGGAATTGAATTCACAGAACAATGATATGGTAGGGAATTTTTTATTTATCTTTCTCGTAAATTATGTTTAAGTATTTACTTATATGCTACTTGTAGGAATATAAAGCATGAGAGCAAACCATAATTGATGGAAGAGTAACTTCTAGAGATGCCAACCTAAATATTGAGACCACCCGCTGTGCGACTGATAAGAGCATAGATGATGAGAGGATTTAGTAAATAGCACTGATATTAAATATTTTCTCTAGATAAGTAGAACCTGTAATTTCTAGGTTTAAGATTTCATGAAAAATACTTTTTAAGGGAAAACAGCTACCATTGTAGGACTTGCAGGAAACCTCCCCCTTCCCCCTCCCC